CAGTGATGGGCCCATGTAAACCTCTGCTCTGTGAGCTGCACTGGTTACCAGTAAACTACCAGGTGCAATTCAAGGTGCTAAAAAGCCCTTTGTGGCATAGGGCCTGTTATGTGAGGGACCACCAATCTCCTGTAGTTTCTGCTTGTCCCATATGGTCTAACAAAATTGCCATGTTCTGGATCCCACTGATTAAACACCACCCCAGATGAGATTTGTATGATCCCTACCCTGACCCTGTTTATGGGAGCCCTTAAAACCTGGCTCTATCCCCAGGCCCTGGGTTAAAATGGGCAGTAGTCCCCTTTGTGAGATCTTTCATTTGTTTAATTGATGGTTGTTTTTCTCTCCTTTCTTTTAGATTATATTTCTGCTTTTTAATTGTTTTTACTATTGCATTCTGGGCAGCTTAAATTGTATAGATTGGGGTGGTCTATAAATTTAATTAATAAATAAATAAGGTAGGGGGGAATCCTTCACTTCTCAATGCAAATGGGAGGAACAAAACATCGCAGAGTGAAAACACTCATACAAATCTAAAACTCACTCACTCCAAATGCTAAACTAGTATAGGAGATTGATAGTGAAATCAGCTGTTTTTCACAATGAGCTAGTATTCTGTTGGCCGGGAACTGCGCATGTTTAATGTAGGGGAACATTAGAAAATGGTACACTGTTTTGTTATGCATTTCTTATCCCTTCCTTCTGCCCCATTACAGACCAAGCATTAGGGAAATACTACCCCCTACTGGGGCTTAAGTGGTAGGAAATACAGTACAGTAATACTCCATGCATTTTAGCACAGGTACGGTACTCCATTTTTCTGGAGCTTTCACTCTGCTGCTGGGGAATTTTAGTTCCAATATATCTGGAAGGGGCCAGGTTGCTTTAAACAATATTTTTCTAGTTCTGTTTGATGTGGCAATCCAACATGCCTCACCGTGGTAAAGAAATAGTGTACTCTATGCCTGCTACATTTCTACGTACTTATAAAATATGGGATATGATCTTAAAAAAAAACAACTCATGGCTCATCTGGACCAAAATATGGATCATTGTACTGTAATTTATGCATGCTTATATTTAGCTACACCAAAAAAGCAGTAAAGGCTATAAAGGAAAAGTGAGTTAGAGGAATGATGGTAGTTCAAAAAAGCTTACTGAATCAGAGATAGGAAATTAATTTACAAGGGGTAAGCCATACATAATTGTTCATTTTAGCCAGTGTATAGAAATTATGTTTCAATTTAGTCAACTAAGACAATTCAATCATTTTTCTTTTCTACTGTAAGAGTAGATGGATCTTATGTGGTGAGGTAAAAAGGTAAAGATTTCCTCAAGGTGAACATAACTCCTGGGGACTACATGAACTATGGGAATAATGGAGAAGGGATTTGCCACTGCTATCTCCTAGGATTTTTTTTTTTAACTTCCTAGTTTAGTTTACAGCTGATGTGTTACCTGGTGATTCTCCATCCAAGAACTAATTAGGACCCTTTAACTTTTCAAAATTTACCAAGGCAGTGTTAGCACTGCTGCTTGAGCTGGGAATATAGTGTGATACAAATACGCCAACAAGGGATGTATGTATATGTGTGTGTGTATTTAATCTGTATATTTAAAATTTGACTCCAGTAATATTTCTGCCACATCACCACACAGTGAAACTGAAATATTCAGGTTCATAATCTGACTTGTGACTTGACTGATGACTAAAAAGCAATCTTCCACCAAGTCAGAACTGTTTATGGCACTCACTTTTTATTTTGCATTTCCTGAGCATGCACCTTGACTTGCTAAAAGTGTTCTGATAACATCCAATTTCATGCTAGTCAGAGAGCCAGTAGCAATTAAATTGGTTGACATTTTCTAACCAACCTATGCAATCCAGCATTGTTCACTATCATGATCTTTTTTCTCCATTGAAAATAATTGTTGCGTTGTTGTGAAAATAATTGTGTTGAACATAATTTTCAGCCTTCAGGAGCCAAGTTTCAGTGACTTCCCTGCATTAGAAAAAGAGCTGGATGGCTTACAGAGTATAAACAGCATGTGCCTTGTTTCCTACCAATCATTTCCCTGTTTCCCCCCCAGCTCTTTCTACCTCATCCCCATATCACGGGAAGGAGGGAGGGAAGGTTGTAGGTATCAGGAAGGAGGCTCTGGCAAACCACTTCCGAAACACTTGCCTTGAAAATTGTAAGGACTTGTCCAAGCAGTCACTGCAGTCGGTAACGACTGAGCGCAGATAAAAAAAAAAAAAGGACACAATTGTAACACTCTTGTCTGCCATTCTTTAAAGCAACCATATTGATTCTCTGAATTTCATGGCAATAGTCAGGAAAAGATGTGGCTGCTTTAAAGAGTGGCAGACAGTAACATTCGTGCTCTGAAATACCTTTCTGGAATTGAATCAGGAGCACTGCACAGGATCTAGTCCATAAGTATAACCAATCTAATTTTTTGACTTCTTCCCACCCATTTTTGGAGGGTGTCTCTAGAGCTGCCTCTCAAAAGCCCTATAGAAGTTGCACACTCTTAGTCTATTAAGATCTCCTCAATGGCATCAGCTGGGGGTGAGTGTGTGTCAGACTGACATCGGCAGTGTCATGATACAAGCCCGACCTTTTTCTACATGTGTCATGACATCACAAGCATGTCTCAAAGCGGCAAGCTTCTGTGGATGTCACTGGATCAGTGTTTCTCAATCTTGGCAACTTTAAGATGCGTGGGATAGCTGGTTGGGGATTTGTGGGAGTTGAAGCCCCCATATTTAAGATTTGAAAAGTTGGAAAACCACTGCACTGGATCCTCTCCAATGCTGTGGTGTGGTTCAGATGCTAAGCTAGCA